ACATACAACATATTGCCTCCAAAGACTAGTTTTTGTTTATAGATTCTGACTCCAGACCTTCCCTTCTCTGTTGTTTGTTTGGATTCGCTATCCAAAGCCTTCATGAAGCAGGCAATTGAAAAAGACACCCATCTTCATTTGATAATGAAACACACCTCATTCCATTCTCACTCCAGATGACACCGCCAGGTCACCAATATGTTTCTGCTTGTCTGAAAAGAGCAGAAAAGAAGGGAGGGCGTTCAACAGTAAGCATCCAGAATATATGCCTACCCAGGACAAAGGCCATGAGCGGTGCACATATATATACACATATAGTGCACTCTGAGTAGAAACCTAATGCAGCTTCCACTAGGGAGGGCCAGGCCAGCTTATGAATATTGATAGAGTCTAGCAGGGTGTCTACAGGATCAGATGTTGCAGCCTGCAGGATTCAGTCATCCAAACTGTCTGAATGTGTCAAACATATCTCATTACAGAGACAGTCTGAAGCAGCAGGGCTGGTGGCTTCTCGCTCGTTTCCAAGTAGACATTAAAGTTAGATTGTTGTTTGGTAAATCTAAAGCTTTTTCACATATGCACTCCTTAAACATTTATAAGAAAATCAGGACAGACTGCCCCTGAACTGAGCGGAGTCTCAGGAGGCAGGATATAACATCAAAGGGACAATGCAGAAATTAAACGTGTAATTGGACGTATTCACAGTATCGATTAATGAGTATGAAGCGAAAAAGTGTGCAAAAAGATCGCTCAGTCGCTCACCTGTTTCATGTTGGTCCTCACCTCCACTATTTCACTCGCAGTTGTTATCCTTAACATTTTCTTCTGTGTTCGCACACGGGTCATTTAGACTTCACGAGGAAATTTACGGGGGTTGCAGTAATAGCTCTGGGTAAAGTCGGTTTTAAAATTCTGCTGTTTGTGTTCACACATGAAGCTCAACCTGAAAGGAGTTTTGTGTTTGTCTGAAAAACAAACACTACACTGAGTTGGAGTTTGGATTTCTGCGTAAGCTTTTGGAGGTAGAGATATGTACAGATACAAATTATTCAATCTCAATGCCAACTCCAATCCTACACTTTGCAAATTGGCCCGTGTAGAGTAAAGCTATTTGATTATCATTGTTAAAGGCCTGGCTGCATTTATAGCCTTTGTGATTCTTTGAGCAATTTCCTTTCAAGAGAAGAAGTACCAGATGATTTTCCTTCATTATTAAGTTTGACAGTCGTAAAGAACACTGACAAAAATGCAGTGATGACGCATACATAAAAAAAAGTCTTATTCCATGTGGAGAAAATGTTTTGGATACATTTTTCTCAATTCTGTTTGCCAAAGCGCTTCAGAAGGACTGTTATGTTTGACAAGAAACTAACATCTTCACATTTTTTTTTAACCTGTTTTAGTCACCAGATTGTTTGTTTTGAAGATGAGGAGACGACTGCTGCAATCAGCTGCCCGGCAAAAACCCTGGGAACACTATAAACACGGAAGGAATCCTAACCTCCAATCAAGCACACATAAGCCAAGCTAATGTTTGCTTTATCTCTCTCCCTCTCCTGTAATGCAGTGTAAGCCGAAGCATCAGAGAAACACTGATTTTCACCATGAAACTACTTCAATAAGTGAAGCTATGACTAAGGGTACACTCTCGTTCAGCACTAAACGGTTGTCTGTCTTTAATTGTCACTTGATAAATCACTTCAATTAATTTCTTCTTCCCTGCACAAAAAGAACAGTGGCAGCCAGAATGCATCCATAGAAAAAAAGATCTGAACAGCCTTGTGTTGCTTTATAAATAAATAATAGCACATGCTGTGTTGGTTACTTTATTGGTGTAAAAAGTGGTTTCTGGTAAATCAATTGGGTCTCTTTTGGGCCCTTTAATTTATACATCCAATTGTTCCATCGTCACATATATTTGCTTGTAAACAATCACAGACTTCTGGCTGTATTGGAGGCATTTTAGATGCTTGTATTGAAACATCTCTAGTTGTATCACAGAGTATGTTGGACCAGCTGCATTCTTCACACATGTGGTTCAGAATTAGCATACTCCGATTTTTTAATCCTCCCACAAAGAGCTCCATAGTAATGAAGTGCGCCCGGAGCAAGTCAGTGATGTCACCCATCACTTTTTGTCTTCACCCATATCCAGTTTCTGTGCACTGCACGCTTTGCAAGGTCTCTACACAGAATCGACCACAAGAGGAGGCACACATATGAATGCACACTCTCTTTCACACACTCTCTTTCACACACTCTTAGACATATAGGCATGACATTTCTACATAGGACTCCTGTCAGACATGCAGTGTGGATGTTACGCTCACCTCAGAGTTCAGGCAATGGGAATACAAGACAGCATCCTGTCACGCCTGCTAACTAAGAAACCAAAGAGTCCAACAAATGCTGTTTTTCTTTGCTCAAGCAATAATATTTATTCTTCGCTCATATCTGATTCACAAGTTCTGATTCATGCGTCCTTGAGATTTCCATGAGATGCTTTCTTATAGCTTTTGGAAACAGAACAAGTTTATCCCCCTGCCTGTTCTGTTTCTGAACCTGTGGTGTTATTGATCTTGGAATACTTTCAAACCTGATTCTGTTCAGCGGACCCTGTGGACAGAGCAGCGCCGTCAGTTGGTCGGACTCTGAGCGATGAATAGATCTCTATGTTGTACTCGAAGACTTTGGACTGCTCAACCCCAGCTGGGTTTTGAGCTGACACCCGTTGTTTGGATCCCTCAATCTGAGAGCTTGGGTTGATAAAGCCCTACTCTGATACTGTCGTGACTGTTGTTTGTATGGCTGACATGAGCCATTGAGGTCAGAACACTCACACACTGATACACATGTGAAGCACATACCATGCAGTCCATACCAAAGAGCTCACACATTATTCTGTCAGCTGTTCAGTCAGGATTCGATTTAGCTATTTCATGTTGAGCAGAGCCTGGACACACATACACATATGGCCTGGGTGAACTCCTCCTATAGTACGTATCTTGCCATTAATCAAGTTCTGCAACAGCCTCTATGTACTACAGCAGGATTCTAAATTGGGCTGCCCATAAGAGTTGATGATAGGAATCATCAATGGAGAAGACGTTGACTCGTCGCACTTTTGATATTTTAACTCCTTCAATTGTACACTGAATAATCCCAAGAACGCTAAGATGACTGAAAGTATGAATGAATGGGTCTGTGATTTGTAATGCAAAAAAATAACAGACGGGTCGGCTGTGACTCAGTGGTAGAGTCGCTCGTCTCTCAATCAGAAGATCGGGGGTTCGATCCCCAGCTCCTGCAGCCACATGTCCGAAGTGTCCTTGGGAACGACACTCAACCCCAAGTTGCTCCCGCTGCTTCGTCTGCGGCGGATAAATGTATATGAACGGGATTGGCTAATACTGATGGCCATTTTACACAGCAGCTTTACCGTCAGTGTGTGAATGTGTAGGTGTGACCTGCGGTGTAAAAGTGCTTTGAGTAGTCAGGAGACGAGAAAAGAAATATACTAGCTCAAGTCCATTTACCATTAACTTAGGGAGTTTGCCCTCTTAGCCCCGTTCCTCTGGAACACCCTCCCCTCTGACATCCACAATGCGCCATCTTTGGACTCATTCAAAAGACTTCTCAAACACCATCTCTTCTCCACAGCCTCCCTTAACTCTCCATTTGTCTCCCATCCTTTTGCTAACTGTCTTACTTTTTTTTTCTTTCTTTCTTTGGTCCCTCCTCCATGTAAAGTGTCCTTGGGTCCCTTGTCAGGCACTCTACAAATTCAATCTATAATTTGTAGTAATGATTGATTGTTGAAAGTAAGTTAGGAAGTTGTTAAACATGAGTTATGATCTAAATATGCTTTGCTCAGTTTAGCCCTTATAAGTTAGAAGTAAGCATAAGCATATTAAGACCATAATTCATGAACAACAACATCCTAACTTATGATCAATAAGCAGTCATTAGGAGGGTAATGAGGGCAAACTCTGAGTTAAAGATAACTAGCTACATACAATATTTGTCTGATTTTATTGTACAGTATAATCTAAAATAGAAAAAGATGAAGTGTGAAATTAGCTGTCTGAAGTCAAAAGAAGTATTTCTCTTTATTATCATATCAGTCATTCATTGTTATGAAGAGGCCGTTTGTCACATTGGGTGAGTTGAGTGTCAGAGTCATACACGCTTCCTCTCTTCACCAGAAGTGTGTGTGTGCGCGTCAAAATCCAGAGTGGTTGCCGGGTTCCCATGTGGAAACAAAACAGATGTCAGCTGCTGCAGTCAGTGTGTGTGACAGAAGGGCCTCAGAGATATATGTGCTGGACGTGCGGCATGATGCTCCTCTGCTGTTCAGTGATATAGGCTAAATAAACTCTGCAGGACTCGGGTCAGCCTGCTGGGACATCGCTCAACTCTTACAGGAGGTTTTTCTGGCACAAGAGCTCCATTTTCAAGGTGGCCTTGTTGTTTTCTTTCCTTAGGATTTGATTCTATCATCATGAATTAAATAAAGTACAAGGGAGGGATCGCTCAAGGCCACATTTAGAGGTGGGCCTACTTAAGAGAGAGGGGGAGATCGTGGGAGAATATATCAGGGCTTCTAATGTGCTCTCTTTGCCCCATTTTGTCCAGATGTTTCAACAGTGAGTTTGCTTTTCCTTACCACCCGCATCTCATCCTCTGTCTTTCCACACACCTTACATATTAGCGCGCACGCCTGTTATCAGGGAAGGATGCCCATTGTGTGTCCAGATGAGTAATAGTCTGAAGGGAAGAGTAGAAATGTGTCATGGTGAAAGAATGTAGAGCTCTCCTGTAGGTGGTATTTCTTTCTCCTTTGAACACAAACCCAAACGTGGAGAGGGTGCATACGTGTCTAAGGCATTCTCTGTGGTGTTATCCCTCCTCACACTATATGCCGGGCTCTAGGATGAGTGGATCTAAATGGTAGGTTGTTTGAGGTTAAAAATTCATGAAGTGTTCTCCTTTTCTTGCAGCTGAGATATCAACACGGCTTGACCACCCCAGACCTGCAGCAGACACTACCCAACTTGAAGAACTTCCTGGAACATGGCCTGCTGGTTCGATGGTAAGAAACAGAAACACCCGCTGCATCAAATAAATATTTTTCACTGAGGTCACTGAGGCCAGAAAAATAGAGAATATGTTTGATATCACACTGTATGTATACTTTTAATATAACATCCCTAAAAAAATAAGGCCATCAAAGTAAGTCAAAGACATATTTTGAATTTCTCAGCATCTGTGGTCTCTTTGTTTTTACTTATCTCCATCCACATGGGCTGTATTGCAACAGATTAGGTTTCCTCTGAGGTCTTATCATCACCACATTAATACACAGATTAAACTGCATGCCAACACAGCAGATCCACCCACAGCATATACAGTCAGACACATACAGTGCTATAACACAAAAAAGAGAAAAGTCAGAGTAATAAAACACCAAGCATATTCAAATGAAAAGTTATATCTTTGTCAAATTGTAAGATTCAGACAGGAGATGGATTACAAATTCCTTGTTTCCTGAATCCTGAATAACATGCACAAACAATTATAACACTGCTTTATGCTTTAAAGTTTTTATGGGCTTGTTTTGGGTTTTGGTGACATACTAAACTGGTCTTATAATAGAATTACTTTCACTTTTTTTTAAAGTTACACAACACCTACAGACAAGGTTATCAACTGATACTTTTCAATACCATAAACACTCTTCATTATTTGAATGGATAAAGGTATCGAAAGAAAACTACAGATCTGAAGTCATGTTTTTAACCAAAAGTTGCCAAAATATTTGTGCAATTTAGCCAGTGTGCAGGAGTTTGTCTGCATTTTTTGGTAATTAAAAACAAGAAATTACCAAATACTGGGTTCCTAGGACTTGCACTTTTGTTACCGTGGTATAAAAAGGCCAAAATTTAGTAAAGGAAAAATTACGAAGTCCGTAAAATTAAGTTCCAAAATCATGAAGTATTAAGCAGTGATCACTTCTCTGGGACGCTGTGGGCGTGTCTTTTGACTGTACCAAAACCACGGCAACTCATGGAAAAGACACATCCTCTACAATGGACGATTGAGGGTTCATCTGACTGCTTGTGGAATTTCTTTAAATGTATTTGTGGGCTTTTGTTCTTTTATTAAAACAGGATAGGAGATAGAGTCTGAAACTTGGGAGAGAGAGCAGGAAAGGGGATGCCACCTTTTTTGAATTTCCCTCGGGATCCATAAAGTATCTATCCATCTATCTAGCTTTAATACCTCTGTACATGGGACACTTACTACCCACTAAGCCACTGGCGCCTCTCATCTGGCACTTGTATTCTATATTCTATCTTTCCAGTCCTACATGTTTGAGCTACTGGACACAGAATCAGATTTTGACTTAAAGAACACTGACCTCCTCATCTTTAGAGACTTTGAATACATTGTTCTTCACCTACCTATAATGGTGTATCACCTCTGCACACAACATTTTAAAAAGCAGTGTCTGATGAGATTTGCAGCCGCCACTTTATGAAGAGGAATGCTTAGATCCCCGTGTCTCTCCCTCAGCAGTCTTATGGCCTGTGAGTAACCCTTTACTGCGTCTGTGTCAGACTTCAGCTCCACTGCCCCATGAAGAGAAAGCTGTCTTTGATCTCCTCTCCTCTCCCAGGGTCAGCAAAGGGGAAAATGTGTATTACACACATTAATTGAATAATCTTTTGTTTTGAAAGGTAAGAAGCCATGAAAAGCCAGAGCCCTGAAATCAGCCCTCCTCTGTCCCCCTCTTTAATGGGAAGTGGAAGGGCCCAGAGATAGATGAGATGAAAGCATGGGCCAGCTAACCCTGAAGCTATATATATGTGTGTGAGTGTGAGTGTGAGTGTGAGTGTGAGTGTGTGTGTGTGTGTGTGTGTGTGTGTGTGTGTGTGTGTGTGTGTGTGTGTGTGTGTGTGTGTGTGTGTGTGTGTGTGTGTGTGTGTGTGTGTGTGTGTGTGTGTGTGTGTGTGTGTGTGTGTGTGTGTGTGTGTGTGTGTGTGTGCGCACATGCATGGCAGTTTTGTAAAAAGTAGTAACAGTTGTACAGTGGCCTGCTAAAGTCGCACACCTGTGTGCCAATGAGTCCACGGGGACAGAAACAAAAGCTTCCTGTGCTCAGTAATCATCAGCTAAGAATCAAGAAACTGTCTTTTTTAAATACATTGAATGTGATCATCACATTCAATCACTTCTGTCTGATGGTATACATTTCTGTTCATAAAGGGGATAGATTTGGCAACACCTGAAAGGAAACGTTTGAACATTTAGTGTTCTTCCCCAGTGTTGGATAAAAAGACTATTACAGTTATTATTAATTCCTGTCAAAGCTTTCACAGGGTCAGATTCAGACAGGAGATTCAGAACAAGCAGACATTATATTTTAATTAAAGAAAGTTTGATTGTGAGGCAGCAATAAGGAAGCAGGAGGAGCTTTTTTTATTAGAGAATTCTACACGCATGTAAAGGACAGGACCTGCAAAGACCGTAGACAAAACTATTATACAACTTTTAATTGACCAAAATTTAAAACAGAGATCATCACAGCTGCTTCAACACAAAACAGCCAGCCAGCGTCTAGCTGAAGGAAGTGGAAACAAACAACTCCTCTGTTCAAATGTAACATCCTCCCACCAGCACTAAAGCAATATGATAAAAAACCCTGTAAGGCCACAACAGACAAGGTTTTAGTTATTAACCAGTGAGCTCTAAGTCTCGAAATAAAAATACAAATACCTATTTTGCTTTTAAGCTTCTTTAAACTTTCTTACAGCTCCTCCATGTAGGATGATAAACCATGTTGTGATATTTGTGGATCTACTTTATTATCCACAATTGAATCAAACTTAAAGCTTCAGTGAGGATGGTGGAGGTGACTGTTGTGCAAAGCTCTGTAATAGGGAGGATATGCATCAATTTCTCTTCACACACTGTTGCAACATTTATTTTCTGTATCACTTCCATTCTGCCTTTTTTCCCCCTCGTTTGAAAGAACAAAAATTCCGCTACAATATGCCAGTTTATGAAATGTGGATTGTATAAAAAAAGCTGCATGGCAGCTGCGTGTAATTACCATGTAGACTGTGAAAAGGAGGCTAATCTGCTTCCTCTATCCTTCCTTGCCACCTCTTTCTTCCTTCCATGCATCCAAACAGGGATGATGTGATGAAGGATATGACCGAGGGCGACGTCTCCAGAAATGATTTTGAAACGGATCCTCCCTCCATGAAGAACTAATCCAGCATGAATCCAGTCCGCAGGGAGAGCCTTTCCAAAAGAGCCAAAACCCACACAAAGGGAGCAATACGTGTTCAATATGGACATTCTGTAAGAAGTGAAGGGAAGGCAGAGTGTATGTAGGACTATAAAATAATGTAACACCGAGGGTAAATGGTGCTCATTTAGCAAACTGCTGATAAAATCTTTATACATTTCCAAACAGTGCTGCCTCAGAAACACATCATAACCTGTCACAATATATACAATGCAGCTCTTGTGAAGTATTTGAAATATGGATTTTTTTCAATCCTGCTAAAGGATACGTAGCAGCGGAAAAATGGTGAATCTATTACGGGGAGGTAGACAGAGACAGTACCAGAAACCCACTCTTTGTAAACTGTACAGTCTGCAGAGATCAAAGCAAACGCGTTCAACATGCTCCCATTTGCCGTTCCACATCCGCTGTGGTGCTGGCAGAGGTTCACAAGGACAAATCCCGCACCGGTGCCTGGAAGCAGTGCTACATACACAGGAGGCAATCAAGGTGTGGCAATCAAGGAAGATTCAGGACTGCAGCTGGAGGATGTGAACATCCCCAAAGACCCCATAGAGAGTGAAAAGTTAGCAAAACCACAGGAGACCCCTTGTGTTACATGATTAGACATGTTTGGACAGCTGCAGTCTCATAAATGGAAGATAAAATGGACATTATCTAAATGGTGTATACGTAAAAGGTGAATTAACTCACTATATTTTCTATGTAATTTTATAGGATCCTGATATTCTGTGATGGAAAATGGTTCTCTGAAGTCACGTTATCTTAACCAGTCAGGATGAGAAGCAGAATTTATTTCCCTCTTTAAAACAAGTAGTTATTAATTAATTAATGCAGGGACAGGATCTCACACGTGTGAAATATGAATCAGTCTTTTAGCCTGAACCAAGAAGAAGTTGTTATTTATACGTAATGAACGAGATTACACACTCGTCCAGAGATGTGAAGAATACATTTTTGAACATGAATTATTGGGGCAAACTAAGTTTATTCAACAAAAGAATCATAAACTCAATAGTTAGCTTAGCTTAGCATAAAGACTGGAAGCTTAACAGCAGGTCAGTTCGTCTGGGAAATATTTAACCTTATTGTTTTTACACTTTTTTACAAATGAACTAATAATTGAACCCTAGAGGCACTGATAGGTCCGTTCTAGGGTGGTTGTTACCCACAGTTTTTAGACGCGCTAACGCCCCTGGTCTGTAATTTTTTATGAATTGGATTAAGTAACAGACACCTACCATATGGTTGATAATGAGGCTGTAGAGTTATGGCAAAGAGAACATGTGGGTACCAAAATCAGAATATAATTATTATTTTTGCTGTTGAAGATTCACTGGGATTTCCCCAAATTACATCAAACTAAACACAAAATCTTATCTGCTGCTGTTTGTTTTGGACCCAGATCATGGCTCATAGCAGGACTTTGATCTGAACAGGGGATATGTTGTGAAGCCCGTCGGGTGATTGGACAGTGGAAAGGTCTGGTTTTCTGGATTCCTGAGTCGGCCTGAAATATGTCAGCTTTGACATCAGCAGTGGAAATGAACAGAGCAGGCAAAAAGCTTTGCAGGAGTGAAGGCTATTTCTGGATCAGCATGTCAAGTTTTTTGCTTGATGATTTAGGCAGAGGCTTCTTAGCAGCATTTACAGTGTGCGGTAAGGTTGTTGAAGGGCAATGTAAGAGAGACTAGGGCCCAGTTACACTCAAAGACTTACTGTAGGAAGGTAGCTTCGGCGTCCAGTGAAGTGTACCTATCAATACACGGCTACATATGGTGCTTTAGGGATGAGCAACAGACCTTTTTCCCATCAGGATGTTAGCTTGAGCTTCTATCATGAATTCACTCTGCTCATTACGAATACCTTGAACCAAGTCCAAACTGCAGCTCACAAAGTTTGAATTCATTTCCTTTTAAGATGAAGTCCCATCACTTTTAACTGTATATGCAAACAAAAACATCATTAGAGTAGTGTCTTTTAACATATGTAAAGCATAAGGCACACATTGGAAAATACAAAACATAAATGGAAACATGCATTGAAGAAAAATAATTCAAAAGACAGGTCAAATAACATTGTTATATTCACAAAACAACCTGTAGTGAACTGCAGCATACGACTTAAAAGACGTGAATTAATGTAAAGTCATGAATCACGGATGCCTGGCAAGACATGAGTAGAGAGTATTGTGCCGTCTCTGACTTAATGAATATTAAAACTAAACTTTTTTTTAAACAAAACTGAGTCTACGGCCACATTAGCTGCAATGCTTGGCTGAAATCTGCTGCTATAATTGGAGCAAAAATACTACCATCGGCATGCTATAAGAACCTCTGCCAACAGTATTAAGTTGCCAATACTAAGCAGTTGTTCAATATTCACTACCCTAATAAAGCATCTGAGTTTGTGCAGCTGAGGCTCTTTAAGATATTACAAGTTCTTTATCCATTTTAAAATGTAAACGGATGATAGTGTTGGCTTTAAAGTTAATGAGTCATTGGACTTTCCAAATGATTTTGCAACCAGTAGTTGTTGAGGCAACATCGAGAAAAACAGCAAGTGTAAGCAACATTTATCGTATTAACCATTAACCAAAGATTTAAAAGCCACAGCAATGCTCTTCTACAGCGAAAATCATTTGATGTCAATGTTTATTGATGTGACAGCCACAGAAACCTTTTTTTCCTTGATTGTCAGCATTGGCTTGATTTATGCTGTTGGGTTATAAAGAGAGTTACAATGAGTTTGACAAAAACGTTATTTTATGATTTTGATGATTTGCATATCATCCCTTTAAAATACTGATCTAAACATGATGCTCAAGTTAATTCAGGAGCTATCAAAGTCTTTGGGGCAATGCATTCATTCACAAACTGTATTTCAAATGTTTATGGACACTAACTGTGAAACTCAAAACTTGGCACGAGAATAAAAGGACTACAAAAGTGCTAGGGTGCATCCTCTTGGGATCATGAATGTACGTACCATAGATGTTTGGATATTTGATACTGGACCAAAGTGGTGTACCAATTTCCAGCACTTTAATTTCATGCCACTTCCTTTAAGAGAGCAGTTTGTGGACTCTTTGTGAGAATGACTCACACAGAAAGGGACATTTCAGAGCAGGAGTAGAGTAAATGTTTATTAAGAGAAATCTCACACAGTGCAGCAAGAATGTCAACAGAAGTTAGCTCATGCATGGTAGGTAGGTAGTTTCCTGTTACTACAACAGATCCAGTTTTTCCAAACAGCTTGAGGAAGTCTTTCTTCAGGACTTCTGTGTTCAGAGCACCCAGGTCACACTGGTGGTATAAAGCCTAAATTCTTTAATGAAAACAAAAGTCATTGATATTAAAGTAAAAAGATGCTGACTGCTCAGAGGTCTGCTCGGCTTCAGTACTGACTGACACACCCAGCCACTTTAACTCACACACTGCTGCTCAATTTAACACAAATAAAAGAACCAAAATAGACCTAACCTAGAAAACAAATGGAACAAAATGACGCGGTCTGAAAACGACATTCCTCATTATAGAAAAGACTTGGTGTGATGACTATGTGATTTAATGCCAGTGTCAATAATACACTTGTGTGTGGTGCAGTTTGCCAACTAAAATCAGACCAAATGGATTTTATGTGAGAGCCAGCTGGAGAGAGGAATGAAAGAAACTGGCGGACGGTAATTAAAATCAAAGACATCTAATCAGCCGTTGCTCTAACGACATAACTCAGTCAAACTTTTTTTTTTTTTTTTAAATCAGTAGTTGCTTGCTAGCTTGCTTTAAATGATGCCTGGAAACCTTAAACTCTTCCCTGAGTACCCGTTGTCTCCGGTTTCTAAACCTGTGTTGTGTTTCAAAGACTCTGAACCATATTTTCCACTTACTTAAATGATAATTGACTTCTCATGACATCTGTCTTTATTCTTTTCTGCCAAATCAGGATTCAAATTTTTGGCCTGACTTCCGAAGAGGCCATCATGGTTTCATTTGGAAAGTCACAGATATGTGTGTGATATGGCAAATCATTCAGCTTCTCTCTATTCTATATATATATATATATATATCATCTCTCCAGAAAATTAGGTGTTAAAGAGCACTTTGTTTCAGATTTTCCTGAAGAGGCTTTTTCTGTAGAAGTAACCAAAGTGCTCGTTAGATGTGTAGGCTAAAGCCAGTAGTATGAAATGATGTGTTTTGATGGACGTGCCTTGCCAAGTAAAGCATAGTCTGTCTGTGGTTCTGCCCACTAAATAGGAACAGGTTGCAGGTTCAGGTCCTTACCCCATCCCGTTATTTTCCTAACCGTAACCTCTGTTGACCATCCAGCATTTACATCTCCATGCCAGTAATTAGCTTCGATGTTAGCCATGAGGTACAGTAGTTATAGCTTGTTCCCATAAGCGGTTAAATACTCAGACTCAGATCAACGATGGTTCTCATTTACTGTATCACCGGCACAGGCTCCTCCACTTTGCTCAGCACAGTGTCCTGCCTGTGAACCCTTTAAAGACCACCTCTGCTGGGTGCCTGTAGAGGGCCAAGGTCAGGGCCCTTTTTTACGAGCTGTCATGGGTTTGATGGTGAAACCCTCCATCAGACAAAAAAGTCAGTACACAACAAATGTATATGTCTACAAGTTCTATCATTACTTAAGCTGAGGGATCACTGTCGAAGACTTCCTTCTTGAGTGTCGAGCCAAAGGAGTCGACTTACAAGGACATCTATTAGGAATCCATGTCCACCTGGGCAAGCAGAGATGTGTCCTCAGCTCTTTAACCAACACATGTGGAACCTCTGCAGAGCACATTGAGGCCCTGCTTCACCTCTGACCCCAACCTCACAATGCCTCAGCTCCAGAGATAGGAGATTGGTCACATGAAGAAGGCAGCTAAGTAGTCCAGTGATCTTGGATTTGGCTATTGGAAGAGCCTCCATTTAAGTCAATTTATAGCCTCTGTACTAGGTTTGGACAGGGTAGCCAAAATCCCGAATCTGTTATCTGTTATGGAGAAAAATGTCTGACATACTTGGGTAGACGCCTGCTGCGTGCTTCAAGTCAGAGGAACATGAGTGTAGGTCTCAGAGGCTGCACAAAATGTTTTCTGAGTGTTGTAAGGTGAGTGATTTATGAAGAGCTGCAGCTGTCTTTCTCCTGGATCAGGGAGCGAGCTGAGTACCTTGGGTGGAGGAGTGATATAGCAATCAATGGAGAAGCTCGTCCAAAAGCAACCTATGAGTTCAAGTTTCAATCTCCGATGTTGGCTGTAGAGATAATGCTGACTGTTAAAGTGTGTCCAGCCTTAATATAAGTACAGTTCTGCTCTGGACTATTAAATACAAAGACACCATGTAAAGACGTGGAGAGAATCTTTGGCTTTCTATGCAAAATAATTGATTTTGCACAGGGAGTTTTTTACCCTTGGGTGTAAGATATGCAAAAGCATTTAAACATGCAGATATTATTTTAGACTTACATTGCAGCAGGAATGGATGATCTGAACTCCATTACAAAAATAAGTCGTATTAGCTTTCCTTGTTTTGCAAACAGACCAAAGAAAACATTAATTTCTTATTTTTTTCTTCGATTGCATTATGATAAAGGAACATCAACATTTGAATAACGCAATATACACAGAATATTCTTCAACCTGTGCAGAAAATCCTTCTGCAGCAGACCATGTGGCTGATTCATTACAGTGAAGATTGTAATAAGCAAGTGACTGTCCATCCTCTGCTGAAAAATCTGCTGGTACTTTGTGTCCATCCAAAAAAAAAGGATGCCAGGCAGAGCGTGTCCGAGCTAACGGGTCATGAAACTGGTCACTGATCACCCTCAAGTAGCTGGAAGCAGCAACAGAGTTAATCCAGAGAAAGTGCTTTGAAAAGGCGATGAAAGTAAGGATTATGGATTCATATTATGAATCTGGAAACCATGTTTGATATTTTACCTCCCGGGAAGGATGATTTTCATTATTCCTGAACTTTTTAGAGGTCATTTGTATCCTTTAGTTAATCCGATATTGTGATGTATCATTGTATGATCATCCGTCAATATATCAATGAACACAGAATAGCAGTATCTTAATATTTTTGTTATCATGGATCTCGCATCGTATCATGAGTAACCCTGTGATTCCCACCCTAAGGTTAGATCCAGTGAATAAACTGTCAAACTCTTTGCCTGATATGACTTATTTTAAATTGCTGGTGATTATGTTTCGCACATTCAGCATATTTTTCTGCTTCTCCCTTACAGTGATCGACATCAAGTATCTAGCTCCATCCCAGTGCCAGCCAAGTCCCAGCTCGGTGTCTCTGCTGCCTCAGATATCGGCTACCCCTGCCACACCAGCTCCCCAGACCGAGGCCTGAGAAAAAGGGCGAGCTCGGAGGCCGATAAGCACAACCACAAGCCATCTCCTCCACCCAGTTATAACACAGCTATGGCAGAACAACAGCCGCCGGTTGGCCTGGCCCCTCCTTCACCTTCACCCAAACACATGTCCTCCTCCCTTGATGCTGGCATGGCCTCACTTAGCCTCACCAAGACAACAGAGGCCAACAAGGATGGGGAGCAAAGGGAGGAGGGTGGTGAGACAGCAGTGGAAGAGGAGAGACGCAAAAACCCCGATAGAGAAATTGAAATAGAAAAAGAAGGAAAAAATGAAGAGCAACTTTCCAGCAGCACAGCTGCACCCAACTCCTCTTCAGTGCAGGACTCTGGTGAGGAAATGTCAGCCTCCGGTCAGCATACAGGTGCTATGAACGGCTCTTTGGTTGCAGGACAGGCTCCTATTAGCATGATACCAGAGCTGCGCTGTTCTGTGGAGCAAGCGGAGGAGATAATGGGCACAGAGGCCACCGGTTTGGGCCTGGGGTTGGGGTTAGGGGTAGCAGATGAGGCCCGACTCGAGGACTATCGCTGCATCCCCGTGGACCATGCAGTAGCTGTGGAGTCTGACGAACAGGTGCTGGGGGAGCTGGATGTCGCTGGCTTCGAGGAGTTCTCCAGACGCATCTATGCACTAAACGAGAACATGTCCAGCTTCCGCAGACCGCGCAAGAACTCTGATAAGTGAGGAAGAGGACCTAAGGATAGAGGGAAGCATAGAAATAAAAACTTGCACAGGGGGTTTGAATATTTCAAGGCAGGGACATGAACTGAGAGGATGAGGGTGGGGGTTCCCATTCCTCATCCCATCATCTAAAATCATAGGAGCTTTTCTGGAAAAACATCCAATTTGCACTTGTTGTAAACATTTCCGTAGTTATCTTTTAAATCAAATGCAGTCAAACGTGTAAGACCTGGGACAGTAAGATAGGACATTTTGTTACAAGCTTTGATTCAGCTATTATTCAGAAATGTATCCAGAGCATTATTTGGCCTGAGCGTTCTTCTATGAGTCGCTGACAGGTGTTGTAGATAACAGAAACATTTATGTAACATTAGCCAGAGAAATCTCACTCAATATCACTTGGACTTTGTTTTTCAGACTCTTACTGAATAACATAATTTAACTTCTTGTTTCAAACACTGTAGTCTCTTGTGTCCTGCTCAAACTACAGGAGTTTAAATATTCTACCCTAGTTTGTAACTGGTTTCAATACACAGATAAGAAGACAAAATAGCCCAGCGATGGCCACTGACATATTTTCACATTTGGAACCAGAGTAAGGAATGACAGAAAAGAGCCTCCACTTTGATTGTTGGTTTGAAGAGGACTCTCAGGGTTATGGAGAGTGTAATGACTCTTGTGTTACTGTTTGCTGCGTTTCCTCTCACTGTTTCTACTTTACTCTGCTAATCTGGTGCACACAGCGCAGCAGGAGCCGCATTTGTCAACGGAGCTGTCAATCATGGCGATATACTTGTTTTTATATCATCCAATAACTAATTAAGACTTCTCAGAAGAGTTAACACTCAGCCAGAATATGATTTAAGAATTATGACAGAAACCAAGTTAAAGAAAGATTCATCTTTGATTTTGTAGTTTGAGCCATGGCCCATCTTTAACCTTATAGGAGGCGGAGCTTATGACCTTTACTTAAGCCGGTCCATAGCAGGAGCTCTAAATAAAGCCATGTCATGTCGGCCATCTTTGTATACAGTCTGCAGTGAATCCTCAGATTATTGCTCTGTGTCTACCCTTGGCCCTCACCAATGTCCTACACCAGGTTTTTCTCTGAGGGTATGGATGTATAAACTCCTGAAGTGTGAGCTTTCACTAAACGGGATTTCAGATTCACACCTACAACCTCAGAACGTGAGGGTTTATAATTATTTTAATGCAACTTCCTCAAGAGACTTTAACCAGCTTATCTATATCGAAGCTTCTCTTTATCTCACACAGTCGGCTGTCCCAGTATTTCACCTTTGACTGCACATTCAAATGTTACGACTCTTCCCGAGCCTTCACCCAGGGTGCATGACGGCAGGTGTGTGTGTGCAGGAGGGAGGATGTGATGCTTTGGCGTGTGTGTGTGTGTGTTTGTCAGGGCGTCACATAAGCATGCATCCACGGTCACACAATCACCGTTGTGGTCCCAAAGTGATCCCACCAATGACCTTTCCAACATGGCTGACACAAAGTGAGGTGGGGAGCCGAAACCAGAAAGCCAATCAGAGGCTCTCTGACTGTGACACATCTTCTCCTCCCGCCTCCTTTCGACAGCTCGACTCACCCGTCGTTTTCCACGCAGGGTCCAGGTTCTCCTTCAGGTCTTAATGTTAGGATCCTAACGAGCACATGGCAGGGATACGGTGCAATTGTTTTTTCTGTCCATCTCCATGTCCTCTTTTTATTTTTCAATTTTAATGTATCTCATCCAAATTAACATAAATGCTAATGTAACGTCCACTAATTCTCCTTTTCAGTAGACCAAACTTTAATTCTGCGTCCGTGTTCTGTTCGATTGTCTCACTCAGGCTATAAGTGTTGATAGCAGGTTTCTCAAGCGGTGATTTTTGTCCCCTGTCTCCATGTTCTGGATGCTTTCTTGCACTGGTATTCGATTATTGCTTTATTTATGTCGCCCAATAATTGTTGTGTGCTTTAATTAATATGAAATATGTGTTTAGATTGACTTAACTGGCTCACATGAGATGTTGCTCACTGTTTGTCAGATGCTAGACTGATCTGATAAACCCGTGTTTGGGTCCTGACGTGGACGTGACAAAGATGGACTCTCCACCGGCAGCCCGCCTCCCGTTTTCAGATCCAGCACTGAGGTTGCTGACTGTTGAGAAGTGTTGTAATACATGAACCATGTTCGATCATTTCCATTAACTGCTCCACAGTTCAGTAAGCGACCATGTACATATACTTTTGTATGGAGGTTTTTCTTTCCTTTTGTTATTAAAGACTTGCAGTCCAATGGCATGGATGTATGTAGCCCCCTTTAAGAGTGGTCTGTCTATCTTTGTACTGATGTGGGTGTGATCAACGTGAACTGTGAGGCTGTTAAAGATTTAAGTAGATTTAATATTACTTAAAATGTCAATAGTTACAGGAAAGTTCAATCAAAACAATCTCTCATAGACATGCTAGTAGCAGCTCTGTTAGATAGAGAAATAAATAAACCCTGATAATAGATTTATAAGCCCAAACTAAATTATCACTTTATATAAAGACCCCTGCAGGAATAAAACCAATTAAATGGAATTTAATGGAAAAATGTACCACCTGTAATGTTTCGGGCCCTCGCCCTTCATCTGTCATGTCTGAGGGCCCAAAATGTTACAGGTTGTACATTTATCCATGAGCCCTTCTGCTTGTGCTCCTTCATGCTGTTTTGATGCCCGTTGCTGTAAACTGTTGCTTGAACTGGAGCAATGCATTAATACTACTTAAAATGATGGAAATGTAACAACATTTTAATACTTACAGGAAAGGTTCAATCAAAATTGTTGTGTTTTGATGCAAGTTGCTATAAACTGTTGCTCGAACGGGAGCACAGCACTAAACAGATGATAAATGTCCAGGTGGCTGATCAAAACACTTCCTGCAGAGATTCTACTGACAGAATAATGTTTTAAACTTCACAACATGAATCAAAGCCGTTGAGCCCAACATGAAATCTAAAGCACTGAGGCTACACGCTGCAAAACTGGTGTTCCTTTTTTTTTTTTGTCTAAATCAGAAAAAAGTTTTAAAAAAAGTATTCAGTTTTATTTTGAAAGTGTGCAGAAACCCTGTGGAGACATTTATTAAGCACTTTCCCTTTTTAAACGCATTTTAGATTCTGCAGTAATCAGACATGATGATATGTCATTAGACAAGTGTCTTGCAACAGATCAATCATCACAGAATCGCTTCATCTTGATATCGTTATCGTCGCCCACATATTTTTAATGTATTGTATTTTGAGTTACCCCGTGATACAAGTGCAGCTAACTATCTGCTGTTCATCATTATTTCTTAAATCCATCTCCATTCAGTCAGACTATGAACAAAGGCAACACACAGAAAAGAAAGTCTCGGCTCCTTTACTGCTAACAGGTAGGCACACTGGAACCCTGAGACTGATCTGTCTGTCAGCCCTGTGACTGACTACTGACCAGTACAGGGTGTACTCGTCTTGACCCCACCCTCAACCTGGTCACCCCGAACGGGACAAGCAGCGAAGATAATGGCGAGGTAGACGCATTACGTATTCCTGTATTTCTACCTTTTCCCGTTTAAAATGGAAAAACAGCTGTTTCATAATGTGCCTGCTTAAACACTTCTTAAACCCTGAAATCATATTACGTTCAATCATGAGACTTGATTATACTTAAGTGATCTTCATATGTGACCTGGTTTTTTTTCTAACTCCACATTCTTCTCGCTTTGAACTTGCAGAGCCGTTACAGTCGATTGGCCAAATCAGGTCAACCCTCCTTTCCTTAATTTGTCCCGACAGTGTCGGCACAACAGACCTTACACACATGTAAACATGTGGTTGCACATGTGACAAACCTCAAAGTGCCTTATTACTTGAAATAAGCCTTTTTCTAATGAAATAAGCCCTCCTGCATTCCTTAACCTCATTATGCACTTAAGTGAGTCAGATCCAACCTTTCTGCTGGTATTACCGCGTCACTTTGTTGTCATTTGTTCACATTAAGTAAGTGGAAAAGTGCAACTGAAAGCACTTCAACAGAAAGTGAGTTTTTGATTCAAATCTCCTTTAAATGTTCACTCCTTTCATGTCGTGTTGAAGAGTGACTTGTTGGACTTCTCCGTCGCTCCAAACAGGAATTTCAGCAATGCACATGATTGCTGAGTCTGTCCTTTAGTATTTTCTGTTTCCAGATTCACATGAAGCAGTTTCCTGCCCCTCAATCCTATAAGCCCCTCGTGTCACTCTGCAGACCGTCTGCTCTCACGGCTAAGCCCCTCCAGGTGTCTGAAGGCCTCAACGCCGGGCCCTCTGGGAGCCACATTTCATCCAGCCAGAGACGGGACGTTTGTGGCATCATGGAGGGCAGACCTGCACTGAACGTATATGTTCATGTGAGTGTGTGTGCTTCTGCACAGGTGTACATCGTAACACTTTGATATTTTACAGGTTATTATTGTAGTTTAAAGTTTATGAGAAAAAGAAACCGAGGCACTGGGAGTGAGAGTGAGCAGGCCTTATTTCCTTACTCACAAAAACATCTTCATATTTCTGAGCTGAGCACTCAGTTTAAAGACTTCAGCAGTGTGTTGTCTGCTGCGCTGTTCATCATCACAGCCACCTCACAAAACACACACCAGCCAAACCAGCACTGCTTGCTGTCTGAACCCAGGTCTGAGAGCTTTCCACTGTGACGTACGTTAGTGTACCAGAGCCTGAACGATATATGGGAGAGCCGATATTACACAACTAAGAGAGGCTAAAATAGAGTACAACTTCACTGTTTGTGTGTCACTCTGCTGCAGATGTTCTGAATACAGAGAGAACTTTGTCTTGACTCATAAAGCTGCTTCCATTGAATCACAAAGCAGCACCAGTAGCAAACAACTGTCAACAAGCTCCCGTCACTGTTTCATCATCAATCCATCATTATTTGTATGCCGTCAATTCATAACAATTGTTACCTGGAGGTGCTTTACAAACAGCAGGTTAAAGACGTTTCTCATTGTTAAGAAAAAATGGGATAAGATGCAGGAAGGATTTCTCCTTTGTATTCCTCGTGTTCCTGTTGTCCACACTTCATTGCAGCTGAGGTGGAGGTCGGAGCAGGCCGTGCAGGAATTGAGGACAGCGGTGGTTGTGTGGACGACACAGTCCAATAGTGATGTCTGTGTGTCAGGGACGTCGGGTGGTAGTGTCAGATCACCTCGCTGAAGGTTGGGGGAGTTGCGTCTCAATAATACTTTGAATCATATCGATTATTGGACATGAAACAAAGGATGGCATCAGTGGAAACATCTACATCTAGAGGACGCTGTGGCTCGATCCCCAGCTCCTGCAGCCACATGTCCGATGTGTTCTTGGGCAAGACACTTAACCGCGATGTGCTTCTCCTGCTTTGTCGGCAGTATATAAATGTCTATGAATGGGATTAGTTACGTCTCTTTACTCAGCAGCCTCTACCATCAGTGTGTGAATGTGTAGGTGAGACCTGCGGTGTGAAAAAGAGCTTTGCGTAGTCAGAAGACTAGAAAAGCGCTATACAAGCTCAAGTCCATTTACCATTTACACACACAAATAGGCAACTGTAAAGAAAACGTTTGGGTTGCCAGGCAACGGTCGAGTTCCAGTCCAGCTCTGGAACTACCTTTGTTTGATGTGATTTCTTTTCTACGAGTTCTACCAGCTGCAGTTATTAGAAAGAAGAAATAATAGACTGCAGATTTGTTTTAATCTTATTAATAATCATTTATCAGTCAGGCTTAAATGTGTCCTGTGTATGTGAGACAGTAATAAATGAGTTAAGTGTTGTTCTTCACCCCCACAGAACAATCCTCATAAGCTCCGATCGTTGATTTAAATAGACTCGGACAAAGGTTTCCCATCAGTCTGATCCTGGTGAGCGTCCTTTGATAAGAGTAGGATTCATCACAGCAGACTTCACAAGGAGGATTAAGAGTACACACAGGGAGGAGCAGTCCATCAACAGCTCATTAATACAGCAGCCGTATCGTCTGACACGCCGACAGACCCGGGTCAAAGTCATTCACTGTACCCCTGTCCTCCATTTGTCTCGGTGAAACTCCATACTCTTGTCATTACCTGCTCTCCGATCCCGTGTCCTTATTATAACGGGTGTCACTGAACGCTGTAATCCTGTCACTTATTGTATGTTTATTTTTGGAGCTCCTTGAACAGACAGGGAAGGAAAAGTCAACAGTATTTGATGTCTTCATTACAGGATAGTGTGTTGATTAATGACTGCCATACTTCCCTCAGGTTAGAACCAGAGTAAGGAGAGCGTTTCCTCTCTGAACTTCATGAGGCGGTCACGTCACCTCCTAAAGGAAAAAGAATACATTTCTCCTCTCAGAGGTAAAAACATAAAATCTTTAAAAAAATTATTAGAAATGTGTCCTTTCTTATTTCAAACACTCAGGGGGTTTCCAACCACAGCCTTCCTTTGTCTGGTACGACTAGCAACACGGGGTAGTGCAGAAGGGGAGTACACACATGCACAAATCATCTGTGCAAGTTGCTAGGTGACCGATTTGATAGTCAGGGGAAATAGCTACTTTTGGGTGGACGTCCACGATTCAGTTCAAAGCCCCGACCTTCCATCTGCTGAGGAGGAGGACACGAGCAGCAAAGAAGAAGGAGAGGGTGTGGGTCCATGAAATCATCACGGCGCAACAGGATTTGGGAGAGTTTAGGCTTGTCATGGAGCTGCAGCTCTAAAAGCCCTGACACCAAGCAGACGCCAAAGAACTAGTGGCGACAAAGGCCTGGAGAATAATGTCTGATACAAAGTTGAAAATGGCGCTGGCGTTGTCCGCTCTTGGTCTTTTAGTGGAAAAAGAAAAGAAGAGGCGGAGGAGACAAATAAGAGAAAACGCACTAATGAGTGAAAGCATGGATACTACAGAGACATGCTCAAGGGGCTTTCCTGAACCTGTGAGGAGAGCTGGAGAGAAATGAAACCTCCCAACAGCCAATCAGAGTGATTCCTCTCACCGACTGCCAAAGCCAATTCAACATGTCAGGGGCTGACGGGTAGCAAAAACTAGGGCGACAACCGCTCACCGACTGCCAACGATCTCCTTGGTGTGTCAGGGCCGTATGACAACTGCATCACAAGCACGTGGACATTTCTGCAGCGCCCACCGCATCCTATCTCAGAGGCTCATTCGTGTCAACAGGGATCTGTGTATGCAGTCCGTGTGGAATCCAGTAGCAGACGGAACACAATCCTTGCTGATGACGTACTGGCTCCCATCAGCAGTCTTCTGACGATGATTTATT